TTATAAAATGTATAATGATAGTTTAAAGTAATTATATATATTTTTTTAAAAAAATTAAGATAATTACCATTCTGAGGTAGTTGAGAATGGTAATTATCAACGTGATTGGACCTGCTCTCAACGTTATGGTTTTCAATTGGAAAATGACTTTTATACAATTTTTTAACTCATTTTTTTATATAATTTTACATGTTATTTAAATTATTGATGTTTTAATTCATATGAAATCTATAATATTAAAAATATTCACTCATTTAATAACATATAAAAATTATATAAAATATAATATAAAAGAATTTCCCCTATGACACCACCATTTTCAATTATGTAATGTTAATGTTAGTTAAAAAAAATATCACATTACACTCAAACTTTGTAAAAAAAATGGTGGGGGGACCCAATAACCTCCCAATGGAGCAGAATTTCATCACCCTCCTCGTCAGAGAATTTATCTTTTAACTAGGACTTCCTCTACTTTATCTCCAATCCTTTTCTTCTCTTTAAGGACCGTTTGTTTATAGAAAAATTTTACTTCTCACATGTATTAATTGTTATTTTTTCTATCTCAAAATAATAAATTTTTTTTATTTAAATTATTTTTAAAATAATACTTTTTTTCTTCTATTTTAAGGGGAATAAATATTTTTTATTTTAATTTCATGATTATTTTTAAATTTTAATAATTTATTCTTTGATTAAAATAAATTTTTTATTTATTTTTAAAAGTAAAATAGATAAAAATTAATTTTATTTTAAATTCTTAATCTGAAAATAAAATAAAATAACGTATATTATTTTGCAACAAAAAAAAAAGGGAGAGAGAAGGGGTGGCTATTTAGATTTTTAAGTTATAAGAATATTAATTTGACCAAATTTAGTGACCCTGTTTATATTATTGAGTTACTAGTTAGTCCTTGAATTTTAGAATTTGATAAAAAGGGGTTTTTTGGTTAAACTCCCTTTTGGTGCCTCAACTATTATATGGACCCTTGATTTGGTCCTTAAACTGAAAAAATTCTTGATTTGATCCTTACTTTTTATTAATTTAACTCTAACTTGGTTGGTTCTTCTATTAAAAATACACCGTTAACTCACAAGACTTAATAACATGTCAAAAATTTGAGACATGTCAAATGTAAGAATGGAAAAAAAAATGATGACATGGCAACATAACATGTTATATTCTTACTCAACACCCAAAAAAAAAAAAAAAGTAGGACTAACTACAATTACAATTTTACTCTCATCTTCCTCTTCCAGCCTCCTATTTCTCAAATCTTCTTCATTTATTCTTTTTTTCTCTTTCTTTGCCTCCTTCAAGTCTACTTTCATCACTATTTTTTTTTAATCAAATAATCAATTCAATAAAATGGAATTCCATTCTTTATCAATTAATTCTTCATCATCATCAAACAAAAAACCCACAAAAAGCAAAAAATTTGTTGGGTTCGAACCTAATGGTTGCCAGGTTCCAATCACTGAAACCTAGGTGTGCTGGGTTCAAACACAGCGGCCGTTGAGTTCCATGGAACCTAGACGTGATGGGTTCCAATCCAATGGCCATTGGGTTCCAACCGTTAGAACCTAGGCGTTCAAATCGAGCGACTGCTAGGTTCTAGCAATTTGAACCCAAGCATGTTGGGTTTGAACCCAACGTCTATTAGGTTCAAAAGAGCCTCATACCCCAAGGGGAAAGAGAAAAGGAAAGAGAAGTAAAAAAAAATTTTAAGTTTTTTTGTCATATCAATATTTTTTGCTATATCATTATTTTTATCCATGTCAGCCATGTTATCTTTCCACGTGTACTTAATATTTTAACATGTTATCATGTTGTCGTGAATTAACAAGACACGTCACATGATTTTCAAT